AACCATTAAAAAAATTGTTTTTCTATTGGCCAGTAATTGGGGAAGTCTAATTTGAATATTTTTATAACCTATTTTTTAACATGATTTTTAAAAATAAATCGGGCTTAAAACAATATTCATTCATAATAATTATTTTGAATATATAATAAGAACATTTCATTTTCCTAGGCAACCTCACATCTTAATAGCATTTGTTGTAGTTTTCATCTCGCTAAATAACCAGGAGGTCGTAGTTTCGATTCCACCCAAATCATTTTTTCCCCTTTTTAACATTTTATTAATGGCTAGTATTTGGGGACGTAGTGAGAATTCGGTACGATAACACGTCAGGCTATAGGGCAAATAATCACTATGATATTTCCTGACGTCACAAACTCACATCTTCATTTGTAGTGGTTTTCATCTGGCTAGATAACCTTGACGTCGTGGGTTCGATTCCCACCCCAACCATTTAAAATTTTTTTTATTATTGGTTAGTATATGGGGACGTACTGAGTATTCGGTATCCGTTAACACAATTAGGTAGGGTAAATACTCATTCCTATGATATTTCCTGAGGGAAACTCGCATCTTAATAGCATTTGTAGTAATTTCCATCTGGTTAGATAATCTGGAGGTCGTGTGTTCGATTCCCACACGAACCATTTGAAAAAAAAAATTCTATTGGCTAGTAATTGGGGGTATATAATTTGAATATTTTTATAACCTACTTTTTAACATGATTTTTAAAAATAAATTCGCAAATACAGATTTTTTATACAACAGAGGCTTGTTTGATTATATTTATATTTTTAGATGAATACATTATTATTACAATTCTTTTCAAGTAATTCATTATCAACTAATTCAGTCAAAATCAAAACAGCTGATTTCATTTTTTTAAATATTTATACATTAAAATACACATACAATTGTACACGCACTAACAAAATAAGAGGGATCAATCAAATCGAATCATTTAGAGACAAAAATATTATTTATACTAATAAAACATTAAATTAGGAAAATTCGGGATATATTTAAGCAGTTGTAACGAATATAGATATCTTAATCAGTCTATAAAGACTTAAGTTTCTTTACAAACAAAATAGCAATTTCCTTTTTGACATTTACATTTTTTAACATTGTAACTTTCAAAATAAGTAATATCAAGATTTCTTTAAAATAAGGAAACGTTTGCACATGTCCTGAGATCACTTTGTAGGTTATTCCACACCTTTGTCCCTTTATACGAAAAGCTCTGTCGGCCAACTTTAGTATTTTTGAAATCAATAACAAAGTCATGTTTATTTCGTGTATCATGACTATGATATGAGTAAAAGGTACGAAAGAACAGGTCAAATGATCTAGGTAACTTGCCTTTATTGTAAAGAAACATTAAACTTGCGACATTTTCTTCATATAGATCAAATACGTTTAATGTTTTAGTTTTAACAAAAAGCGACACAGAAAGATGTAAATAGTGGACGTTACATATAATTCGAAGGGCCTTTTTCTGTAGTATATGAAGTCTATTCAAATTTGCGATGCTCCCACTACCCCATATTGTGATGCCATAGGTAATGGTTGGAAGGATAAGTGACTTATAAATAATTAGTAATATGTTATATGGCAGTACATTTTTTAAAAGGTTCATTGCTCCAATAATTGCGGAGATCTTACTTGAGATTACATTTGTATGGTGTGTAAAATTTAATTTCTCATCAAGAGTGATACCTAGATATTTTACATGGAGGACTCTTTCAATAATGTCTTGATCAATTTTGAGTTGAACATGGGATGTATCAATAGTGCTGTTTCTACCACTGAATACCATGAATTTTGTCTTATTAGTGTTTGTGGTAAGTTTATTTGCCTTAATCCATATGTTAATCCATTATTCGTTACACCAATAGCGTCATTTATATCGCTGTGTTTTAGGAAAATGTTTGTATCATCAGCAAACATTATTAATTGAGTCCTGGTGCATATTGATGGTAAATCGTTTACAAATAATAAAAATAATAAGGGGCCAAGAATTGACCCTTGAGGGACTCCATATTTTATTGTCTTTATTTCGGATTTCCCGTCTTGTATAGTAACATACAAGCCTGTAGTTTTTTATATCATCTCTATCACACTTTTATAAACAGGTATAGTCTTTGCTAGTTTAAGCTCATTTGGAAAGACGCCTGTACTAAGTGATAGGTTAATCAAATGTGTTATAGGTTTAGCTAATATATCTGCATTGTCCTTTATATATTTAGCACCGATATCATTTTTACTCATATAATCCATGGGATTTAAATTTATATAATCTATATTTGCCTTTTCTGCCATTTTTTCACAAATATTGATAAAGCAAGAATTCAATGCTCCTGCCTTTTCAGCAGGGGTTTCATGTATTTTTGACTGATTTCATTCTTGTTGGAAGGCCTAATGTTTTGTTTCTCCCCAAAATGGCGTTTATGGACTTCCATGTTTTTTTAACATTATTTTTCCTATTTTCAAAGTCTTCTTTATAGTAAATAATTTGTCGTTGTCTTATAATTAATGTTAGTTTGTTTTTGTGTTTTCTATATTTAAATTTGTTTTCACTTGTTTTTTTATATTTAATATACAATTTTTCTTTAATATTTAATGATCTTTCAATTTCATTTGTCATCTAGGGCGATCTTATTCTGTCGGTCCTTATTTTATTTTTTTTTAACGGGAAGCATCTATCAATTTAATGCTGTAAAGATAGAAGCGAATAGATTGTATGATTCATTTGCATCATTGCTGGTAAGAACATTTTCCCAGGACTGATTTTCAAGCTCACTCCTAAACAGTTGATTTTGCCGAGATGAGTAAGTTCGTTTAAAAGTATATTTCTTGGTTGTATTATTGCTACATTTTTGTGACTTATCAATACAAATTATTGGGCAATGATCGGATATATCACTAAATAAGAGATTTGTATCAATATCTATATAAAATAGTGTAGATATTTTAGATTATCGTTTCAGTTTATTCTGTTATATGTGTGGGTTTATTTACTAATGGTATAAATGATTCGGAAAGCATAAAGTCAACAAGAGCTTGGGTATTTCCTATTTATATTGGGTTTTTCACTATTAATTGCATTTGTGCATAAATTCACTCATTTGGACATTACATGTATGTATAATATATGATTTGGGCTGTCTATAGATTACACCGCAAATTATGGTTCTATTGTCTATATCAAATTCTATAATGATACGGTACTCTCTGCGACATGGAGTATATGGGATAAATAATTTCTTAATCGATATGATAAATGTGACTTAATGTATAGAGCAACACTACCAATTGTTTCTCTATTTTTATGTATAGCTGTATAATTGATATAATTCAGTGGGATGTTTGCTGGAAAGCCACGTCTCGCTCAGTCCTATTACCGAAAATTCATAATCAAATCGAGATATATAATTTAATAATTGGTCAAATTTTCTTACAATGCTTCTACAGTTTAGGGAGAAACATGAAAAATAGTTTGATTTATTTAAAGAATATTTTGATTTAAAATCGTCAACACTTATATATTAATTTTCAATGTAGTTAGGTATATTAATATTAATTTCATCTTAATTTGTGTTAGTTTGTAGAAAATAAGACATTAATACAATACAAAATTATTAAAAACAATATGGAATATAAAATTAGAAAATCTACAATTGTAAGTCTAATTTATAATTAAAGTAGATTAATAGCTAGCACCGTGCACTTGTTCCGCATCTTCTGAAACTCATCATTAAGTATATTTTAATTAATTAAATATTATATTTTAGTTAATATTAGTTAATACTGTAACGTCATAGTAGAAGGTACAGTATTAACTAATATTAGTTAATATTAGTTAATACTGTACCTTCTACTATGACGTTAGAATCTATACATACAGTTCATTTTCTACTGGTGGTATTTCTGGTAGTATTTAGACCGCAAGCTGTAGCATCTTCGATACTTGCTCCAGTAATGGGGCCATGGTAGGGTCTTCCATCAATAAACAAAATTCCATTTCGGAAAACTGGGTGTTTCCCGACTTATGTGCTCTTGACATTACATCTGCATATTTACGTTTCATGCTGACATCCGCTGGTGGCAAGTCCTCCATCACGTAAAAGTATGTATTCTTTAGTGCTTTGGTTTTTTTAAAGGACGACATGCCTCTGTGGTCTGTAGATAAATTTTGCTATTACATGCCTTGGCATCTCAGCATCCCCTGTCGGTTTTCCAGTCCTATGAGCATGCTTGACCTGTGTATCTAGCATTAGTTTATGATTTCTTGTAGCTTATCTAGCGTGTTTTCGTTTTTTGCTGATTTTATTCCTCCAAACCTGAGGTTATAACTTCTTGAGTGTCTTTCCATTTTCAAGATGTTACTGTCCAAATTATCATTTTCTGTTTTTCATTTAATTCAGATTCCATTTTAACCATGCGAGTACTGTAGTACAATCAACTACTTTCTTTCTCTGTTTCAGTTGTCATATCTGTGAAATTTTCGAGCGATTGTTCAAATTCAGTTTGTTTCTTCTCCATATTTGTCATCCAATATAGTAGATAACCTGGAGGCATTTTGTAGTAATTTTCATCCGGCTAGATAATCTGGAGGTCACACGAACCATTTTTTTTTATTGGCTAGTAATTGGGGATATCTTAATTTGAATATTTTCAATTCCTGATAACATAATTAATGTTGAAATATTGAATCCCGACACGATGGCGTGCATTTCGATACTTAGAGTATGTATTATATACTATCTTATCCGAGATTAATCAGTGGACCTTTCGGCTTCTTTCCCCTGAATTTGTGATAAATTGTTATCACGCACAGACTTGTGTTAACTGCGTGACAAATTTAGGATCACGCATGTGTTTCTGCAAAATGCATGTTTCATCCAAAATCACTTTAAAATGCAGGACCGTCCCGCACGATGCAAGTTGGTAACTATGGGAATATGTAGGCGTACATTTAAATGACACATAAAACACTAAAATTCATAAACTGCTTTTTCTTTTTTTTGGACAAACCATCATTACAGATCCTGTTTAATCTCGTACGCGTCAAATAGTATAATTAAGTAATTTTAAAGAAATAAATACAAAGATTGACTAACAAAAAAATGCATGTCTACTGGATACTAAATTCAAGGATATGCATTTCCTAACAGTGTTCAATATAATTTACAATATGCAAATAGGGTATTTTACATATATGCAAATAGATAATTTACATAGGTGACAAAAAAGAAAAGATATGAAACCTGATGCAGGTAACTTGCACTGTTTCCTTTTTTTTTTTTCATAAAATTTACGTTCAAACATTCATATCTATTTAAAGGCTAGTGTTACATACATATACAGTATTCACAAGACTGAAAATTGATAATGATAAATGGCGTCATCATCATATTAAAATGAAAATTTCAATCTAATACCAGATTCAGTTTGGTTGAGGTTGCTTTCCTGACAATCCCATCACAATAGCTAAATTCATTTTACAAGCAGTTAACATGCATTTGTTAAATGAAAATCTTTAAACTATGACAATTCATGCAAGATAAACCACTTTTATGCAATAATTTAGAAAGAAAATAGTGCATTGAAATAAAAATGATAGAAATAACTATTAATAAAATATAATATAGTTACTATCACCATTTTAAAATTAATCTGGATAATTAAATATTGGGCAAAACTGTGCTATATTGGTGGCTCGTCTGCCAAAGCTGGACAGATAACAAAATATGTTGTTTGGATTGTGGCGAGATATATAAATCTATATTTATCAAGCACCAGATAAATTAATATAATAATGCAACAGTAATTTACAGATGCCTACAAGACACTGGTGTCAACAAAACACATGCGGTAAGAAACAACAAAAGGTGGAAAAGCCAAGGTTATATTAAAAATACAGGTTTAATTTAAATACAGGTGTTGAGATAATGCAGACATCCACACAACACAGGTGTTGACAAAATAAAAGTGGCAACACATGTGTATTGCTTCTGTGATTGTATACTACAAGAACATTTATGAAATCATGCTGTTTAAAGTGTTTTTAAACTTTATAAACTTTAATTTGTCCATGTAAACAAATCTGCAGACATTATCTAAAACGTTCAGGCTATGAAGATAACCTTAGCACCTTACACTTAACATTTAATAAAAATTTCTTCCTTTGAAAGAGAAATATTATGTTGTGTATTAATTTATCTTGTTATTTTTTTTGTACAATATTTCTTTTGAACAACATCATAAATAAATAAAAATCTACCATATTTAGGGAAAATGATACAAGACAAGGAAACAGTATAACAAACTACTATATATTGAAGGATGCTTTTTTTAATTACACTCAAAAATAAAATTAATTAAAATTGAGATTTCATTTCCAAGTGTTGATGTATTAGTGTATTTAACACAATTTATAGGATTTAATTAGAAAATATTAACAATAATCTTTTCACACTGTAGCACTGAAACAAATACAACTACTACTTTCACTACTACTGTATTTCAGACCACACTTAAAATAAGATATCGCATGACACTGCAGAACTTGACCTCGGTAATAAAAAATTGTGGGAGTATTTCATTGGTTGATTTTGATTAAAATATTTACATGACTAATGGTTTTCAGATGCAATGGTTACATTAAATGGAAAGCCACCTGAATCCCAAAACACATTTCCTTTTGTGTGACACCAAACTCCAAAGTGTGAAAAATATTGTTTTTTTCTGTGTATTTTGCAAATGCCTTTCGATCATGGTTAAATCTTGATTTCTTTCAGAAAAACCACTTACATATAAACACACTCTGTTTTCAAAAACTACGTACATACAAAAAATTATCCGACAAGCCAGGGATTTTAAACGAGCATAGGCACAACCGCATGTCAGCACGAATGATGTATACTACAATTTGTACATTGATACAAAGAAGGATGGAAAAACCTAGCGAACAATAAAAGTTCTCTACAGAGCCAAGAACCACATTTTTACATATTTTTCAAAAGCATTCTATGGGATGCACAAATAAATCCCCAATAATTGATTGCAAATTTAACTTCCCCAACCATATGTTCCTTTGTTTCCATACGTTCCTTTGTTCCCTTGAGTGGCAGACGTCTGCGAACGCTGTGTCGATCCACCTTGCCCGTCACCGTGCATCTGATGCGGCAACATGTGAGCTTGCTGCATCATTGGTACAAAGGGGCTGTGGGTGTGGGCATAAGGTGGATTAATGTGTCCTCCTTGGCCGGCTCCGGCAAGTGGGATATTGAATGGCGGCGGAGTACCATGGAAACTCTTTGAATCAAATGCTGTATGCGTCTTGTTGGTATATGAGGAACCTGTTAGATCTGATGGTCCAGAGGATGATGTGACAACTGTGATAACACAAAATAAAAACAAAAATGTGAAAATTGAAATAAAAAGTCAACATTAAAGTTATGTGCAATGAACTATGGATGTAGCACAATCGGATCTATTATTAATGGTGAATATAAAATAAAACAAACAAGATTTTGAATTCTCTTTTCATGTAAATAACTAAAAAGACAATTGGCAGGGTAGAATAACAAAATAAGCAATACATTTCAATTAGATTTCCAAATACTGTACTATATGAGATAAATTATTACTTTGTTCACTAGTCTTTAATTCAAGATAGAGCAAATCACAATGAAGCACAATACTGGCAGGTCAAAGGTTAAAAAATGTTGCATTAAAATTAAAAATAATATAAACAAAAACAAAAATTATCAAAGCACTTGGACATAAGGTAGGATAGTTAATTAAAGGTTAACAAGATATCACAAACTAATTATACATAATCACTTTAGCAATCAACAAGTCTATATGTTGGTGGTGCTCTATAATCTTACTGGTTTAAATCCAGCAATGCACAACTCAAACATTACCACAAGAGTCTGCACAAATCTTTTGCATTGTTGTCAAGGAGAATATAAAAATCACAATAAAAGGTTGATATCATACATTTCCTACACTTGCAAAAGAAATTCAGTCATAGCAAATGAGTGGCAAGCATGTACTTTATACTGTATTAGTGGTATATTTCTCAACAGTTTAATTTTTGTGAATGAAGTCATTACCGTAAATTTACCAACTTACAAACACCACAACTGCTCCTAGTGCCAAGTGAAAGTAGGGCCTAGTGTGGCTACGAAGTGGTATGATAACCATAGCTAGGGTAGAGAGTGGCCTAGAACTAGACAAAAAGGCCCACCTCTGAATGTTTGTGAACACATCCTAACGATCGTGGTATGCACAAAGGCTTAGGCCAAAAATACCTAAACTGCGAAAACAGCGTCCGTGAAAATATCAACACGCGAAAACATCAAGAAAGTACAAAATCGCGAAACATTCTGTATGCGAAAATAAACAGTAATACAGTATATTAAATTATTATTAGTAGTAGTAGTAGTAGTATCACTACTATTAATCTTATCCCAAACATTTTGTCTGCTAATTAAAAAGAACATGAGAAACATGTATTATGCAATATTAATCCAGTTACTGTTTGTTTTATTCAGTTTGTTAATAGCCAATCAAAACAAAGGGAAAAACATAAATCTCTTTCCCGATTAGCATTCTGCATTGTTTGTTAAATGAGGTAAAGGACTGCCGAGAGGATTTAAACCGCATGAAGCTATTACTAGGGATCTAACTTGATTGTCCCCTGCATTTGAGTGCATTGATATGCAAGGTTTGTTAATAGGAAGCCAACTTTTAAGCATCAACAATTAGCTCAGGTCTAAGGCTATTTTCCTTGTTTCCCCACCTACTCTTTTTAGGCAGCTCTCGGTACACAAGACACATAGGTATTAGTTTAACATTAACACATGCAGTAAATTACCTGAGCTTCTGCCAACTGTAAAAACATGGAAAAACACACAAGCATTAGGTATCACTGCAGTCGTTAGTTGTTGGATGTAAAAAAGTCAATTATAAAAGCCAATCAGAATCAGCTTATCTATTTTGAAAAGCCAATCAGAATTAGCTTATCAATTTTGAAGAGCCAATCAGAATTAGCTAATCTATTTTTCAAACATTGCCTGAATCATCTCTCTCCCCATGCAGGAATATACAGACATTACTCACACACAAATGTCTCCAATACACACAAATTAGAAATTTTAAAACTGATCAGGCCATTAGTGAATATATTATTACATCAACAACAATTAATAATCCAGAATTCATATGTAAACAACACCCAAAGAAATAATACAGATCAGGTTTCTTCTTTCTTACCTGCCGTACCTGTGTTTTTGCTTTGTGTTTGTGACACTCCACCGTACCCAGTCTTAAAATCTTGTGTACCAGGCAGATCATCATACCCTAATAATCAACGTTCAGAAATACCAGATAAATATCTTCAATCATCAACTTATATCTCTTATGATGGTTAAGGTTAAAATAACTCAATCAGTTGATAACAAAGGGGTTCCTCAGGAATTGCTCAGAAGAACGAAAGTGCTATATAACACATCATATTTAGTGACGATGCAGAGTTAATCAAAAAGACTTACACAAACTTGTAAAGACAATATTATTAAAAATTATATAACCGATTCCTACCTGTTGCAAATGTTGTATGGGAGTTGTGTTGGCCATATGTATTGTGTTGCTGAAAGCCTGTATGTGGTGTTGTTCCTGATTGTGACCTTGTTGCTTGGGGAATCTAGCAGAGAAAAAAGTCAGTGTCAATGCTACATACAAGCTATAATTATTGTACTTAGTATTGAACAGGCATCCAACAGCAAGCGCCTTTCAAAATACACTATAATACTCTGACCACACTTTTATGTGACAAATATCTGGATCCTACCCATATTTGGGCATGATGGTGTCATATTATACCATTATATGGGAAAAAATCCTAAATACTTTGTCACATATAACTTGACAGTGAGCTTAACTTGACAGATGAACACTGTATTACTTTTACTTAAGCTGTGTCGATCTCCAAGCTCAAAATTGCCCCAAATAATTTTTACAACACTCAATTAATCAAGCAGGATATAATATTTAGTACAATAATATATTAGCATAATTTAAAAGATATTAAGGCTGACAATGAAAAATGTAACAAAATTGTAATTCTAGTTTAAATTGGAAACTGCATGAAATATACATCAATTGTAGAGGGCAAAACGTAAGATATTCGGCTAATTTTCAGTTCACTATACGTAATTTTACTACTAGTTTATGTGTTTACAAAGCAAAAGTGACCTCTGTGACCTCACTTTCCTGAATGCTGATGATGACTAATTTTATATTGTTTGTAACAATATAAACAAAAATTGTAATTCTAGCCAACTGCATGAAATATACATCAATTTTAAAGGGTGCAATTTTGATGGGATAAAGTCATTCTTTTTTTCTACTCACCATATTGTTCATAGCGGGGAACATAGCCGCTGCTGGCGTGTACTGTAGACCTGGGACTGGGCCTGCCAATCCTGCTGGATAAAATGGGAATCCTCCGTAGCTGTAGCCAGGGGGAACTGTGGGGTTAATGAAAGATGGCTGCTGTTGTGCTGCTTGCGTTTGGTGATGATTTGTTTGGCCTAGAAGAAGAAATTAAGATGAAATGTTAATTTACAATGTAATGAAATTAATTTTAAATTCGCATGGTCAAACAAAACACATTAACATAATATATGATATACTTATTTACATAATTAGCCACTACCAACACTATTATATTTTATTGCTCAATCCTTCTTCACTTGTATCAGATAAAAATGAAAAGATGTATCATGAGAACCATGGACATGATAGGTTTTCAAATGAGGTGTCAGATGGTTATCATCATTTACAAGTAAAGATAATATCACAAGAATACAAGCATCAATATTGATTTGAAATAATTATATAAAATCACTCAAGCATAACCAATAGTTATGATAATCATTGACATAATATGATTAATCATGACAATCTTTTTTTTTTGTCCAATTTCAAATTGGAAATTTTGGCCGGGCCCTTGGGGACCTGCAGGAATTACGGTGCAGTGCCAATACAACATGTAAAGGATACATTATCCTTTATTCCAATTACTCTCATGGGAAGCTTATTGAAGGAGCCAAGCAATTAATTAAAACCAGATGCTGCCCGAGTATAAACCAAGGTTTTCAGTGGAAGAAGGAGGAACATTATCTTACAGCCAAACGTTAATCCTTTAGGACATTTGTGTTTTTTTCACCTCCGACATGAGAGCATGCTTAGGCTTGGATGCCTTTTTCATCAAAAAATTGTCATAAGAATAAGCACTAACTTGCTTGGTGAAAGAATGAAAAGCAATACGGATTTTTACCTTGCTGTTGTGTTTGTTGTTGAGTAGCAATGGTTGCTACTGGAGACGATGCATCTGTTCTTTGAAATTTACTTGCTTCTGTTACCGAGTAGGCAGTATTGCTGAGCCCGCTAGCATCACGCCCAGTAGCAAGTGCCGTCTGTTGTGCAAACTAAAAATAAAAAGTAATTCACAGATTTAATATTTTTTTTTTTTTTTTTTTTTTCTTTTTTTTTTTTTTTTTTTCTCTTTTGTGGGTTCATCCCACTTTTATTCGTCAATTCAGTAGTACAATTTACAGCATGTATCGCTCATCAACATCAATATTTTACATCATATAAAAATAAAGTTATGGTATAAAAGAGATTCCTTTACATGTACAATTTTAATAATTTGATTTTTGGAAAAAAAGAATTAAAACCATTTTCTCATATTTTTCTGTGTTAAAAAAAGTGTAAAGAGGGACCTATGGTTCCACTTGTTAAGATTTTTTAAAACGTTAGCTTTATAAACACTGTATAAACCGACCGAAAACAGGTAATCAACATCAATATTTCCCGTCCGTATTTCCAGATTTAATATTTTTTGTGTTGTCAACAAAATGAGGGTTACTAATTGCGGTAGTAGAATAAACCAGGTAATGTTTGTCAGTGCTACACTGATTAAAATGTTCATCAGAAATTTCAGAAAATGCGCTTGTTTGTCATCATTCAAACAAACCTGGTAATATTCAAGAACGTCACCAGTTACAGTTGTAATTCATAGCCTTTACGGATTTAACACTTCATATGCCCAGTAACAACTTTAGTCAATCAATTGACAGGTATACTCACCATTGGCTGTTTCTTATACACATCAGATGTGTATAAGAGACAGGTTTGTAACAATATACGTCAGAAAGTATTTGGTCTAAGAAAATAGGCCTATTTTGGCAACTTAATTATTTTGTGTTGTAATCATAAATTGTGAATGAGTAGTTCTGTGTTTCCCTCAAAAAATACTTTTTGAGAACTAACAGTTTTATACAGAATTTTCTTGAAATTGGATGTTGTTATATATAATATACCTATTATCATAAACAACACTTATTAATTAAGTAGCAAACTGCATAGCTATCACAAGAAGTGGTGGCTCTAGGATATATTTTCTGGGGGGGGGGCTAAGTTGTCCGACAGGTGGACTTGAGCTCGTAGGCTCAAGCTGGGGGAAGGGGTGGAGAGGGAGTTCTCCCTCCCAAATGAGATTTTTTTAAAGAATAGCAACTTCTCGATGGCCAGAAATGGCACTCTCAGACTGTGACAGAGATGTGTTGGCTTGGTGGGGGCCTATTTTTATATGTTTTCTGGTCTGACTGCCCGACGAGCTCTGTCTGGCAGGGGGCTTGACCTGTCCAGTGGGGGGAATTAGAACCCCTGTCCCCCGCTTAGCCACCAGTGATCACAAGACCAGTTGGTAGTTTAAGTTGAATCTTGTGATTTACTAACTTGTTGATGCTTGTGTTGTTCTCGTTGACGACAACAATGAGGAAGCAGATGTGCTTATGTAACCAAGCGATGAGGACGTTGTACTGGCAGTAACTGGAGAAACTCCTAAAGATGATGCTGATGCTAACGATGTTTGTGATACCAGACCAGATGTCCCTCTGGATGGATGACTACTGTTGTCCAACTGGAGAGATCAAGGATTAAAAAGAGTTAATAATAATATAACACATAACTTATAACATTTTATAGTAACATTTACATAACTTTCAACATAATAATAAATGCTATCCATTACCAGTAGGTCTTCACTTGTATCAGATATGAAATGAAAAATATGTATCATGACAACCATGGAAATGATAGGTTTTCAAATGAGGTGTCAGATGGTTATCATCATTTACAAGAAAAGAACTTCAGATTACAAGCATTAATAATCATGCAAAATAACAAATATCTTATTACAAAATTAGAATTAAATTAAAATCAATTTGTTAAAGAAACCCTAAACTTATCTTAGAAATATTTTGAAACAAAATAAGTTCCTCATCTATTATTGCTTATGAAGTAAATAGTGTTCAAGCTCATACATCTAAATATGTCTGTCTGTTGACTTGTATCTGATCTTTAAACTATAAAAAGTTTGTAGTTTTCTGGTGGTTAAAGACTTACCCTGGAATCTAATCCAATTTTACTTGATGACATCGGTGAAGTCTGTACACTGGTATGCGTTGATACACTACTCGTGGTCATTTGGCTACTCCCACTTAATCCTGTATTCAATGAACTGGATCCAAGCCCAGAATGGCTGGTAGATTGCGAAGAGTTCGTCAGTCCACTCAGGGCATTGCCACCGCCAACACTGGCGGCACTTTTACTATTTGCACTTGAAGAACTCAGAGACGAGGAACCAAAAGCATTGGAGCCGGAACCTGTCAGACTACTTGGAACAGAGACATTCATTCCCGACGGAACAGTATTGGATAATCCTTGGTTATGGCTTCCGGGATTAATTCCTTTTCCGTGGGCACTAGATGGCATTACATTACTGCCGAGTCCTGTAATTGTTGACACAGATCCTGTGTATGAATCAGTTTTGCCCGAGGGCCTTGAGTTTGGTAGCCCACCAGTTGGTCCAGATGATTGGTCAGTATTGCCATATGAACTTTGACTCTGGAAAAAACATGGGTCAACAATCTTTTACCTGCTATTAGCATTAAGTCCACTCAAGTTCCTACATTTATATTTAGTTGTAGATTACCGAACAAATATCTTGTCAATTCTGGCTTTCAATATTAACACGTTGGCTGCCAGTGATGTGTATACTCATCCCACAGGCTGTTGCTGAGGGCACAAAGGACGAGTACTCTCGTCAAAATTGGGGTAACATTCTAGCATTTATTACTTCTTTGTTATACATTGTAGACTCAACGGCTGGTAGTTCGGGGAAGATACACCTAGACGATAACGTACAAATTACGTATGTATGTGTGTTGTGTTATGTTGCCAGTAGTACAAATGGGGGCGCCCTTTGAACATATACCAACCAATGCAAAAAGAGGACGAGATAACTTGCACTGGGCATAGTCAATAAAAAGTGCTGTCACAGTGCCATCGACGAGTTTACTTATCAACTAATAATTTCCCGCCCAATCTATTAGACATCATTTTGATGATATATGACTAGATAAAATTCCAAAAAAGTATGTTTGTACATGTTTGGCATACGGGAAGGAAACTTACAAAAAGGTCTGGCAGTCAATTGTTAATATATCCTTTTAATAGTTCCAGAAACTCAATCAGTGGATACCAAAGTGTTCCTCAAGGATTATTCAGAAGAACGAAAGTATAAAAAACATCATATTGAGTAATAAATCATTACACTTAAATACTGCAAAACCACATTGTGCAAACCAGTAAATATTAATCTCTTACCGTTCTTGAACCATGTGGTTGCGGATATCCAGGTGCTGATTGATGGAGAACACTAGTTGAGGATAGTACACTTGATGAAAGTGTAGATGTTGTACTTCTGGACATCTGTGATTGTTGACTTGTGGAGTATGTGTCCATGGATCCTTGGCTTTGTGCACTCATGTAGGTATTCGCTTTCAGATCATTCTGATTTGGCAGAGGAATAGCAACTGGTGTTGATATCTAAAATCCAAACAGCAATGGCCACTACTTAACACAACTAATAATGTGTCGCCATATTTATACCAAAATTTAATTACTTCACTATAACATATCACATAAATACTACAATTCCAAAATCCAAGACATTTTTACCTTGTTCTGCGAGGTCTTCTCTGTCATGCTCGCTTGTTCGAAGCCACCAAAGGGCAAGTGCACTTTCCCGGTATTACTTGAGGGCAGACTTGATGCAGAGAATGTATCTGTCCTCTGAGATGGGTACGCATAGCTACTAGAAACAGAACTGTCTTCAACACTAGACCATTAAAAAGACAATACAAAACAAAATTATTACTCACTGTACAATATGTAATACTTGCTATATTAACTAATTCAATAAACATAAACCAAACACAAAAATGAATTGTTATCAATGAATAGATACCACCAAACCAACATGTTTGTAGCTGTTGAAAACTAAGGGTGGGTAATAGAAATTTTCTTAGGGTGGGCAGGTAAAAACATTGGTAAACTCTAAATAATAAGAGTGAATTTTAAGGATTTCATTTTTATTTCATTTCATTTCTTTAGGCACGAGCACCAAGGATATGCCAATAAGTGAACTTAATCCATATCCATTTAACAACAGGTGACTTAATGGACCAGTACACCGGGGTAGCCCCCTACTCTTCTTGAAGGATGCACACAAGCCAAATGCGTCCACTGAGCTTACGGTTTAAAGTCCTCATCCGAGAACACTTGTTCCCCCACCGGACGGTTGAGCTGATGGTTGCGGTGCCCTGACTTAACCGCTCGGCCAATCAACTCGCCATGGCTTGAACATTGCTTTAGGACGTAAGCTAGCAATGTTGGTTTCCAAACTGTACTTGCCAAGGATGGAAAAGTGGGTTAATATTGGATGTGTGGAGGGCCATGAAATTAGCTTTAGACTGGGCCGCAAAACTTTAAGGCTGAGTGGCCCCCGCCCACCCATAACTACATCCCTGAACCAACTGACACAATCTTACCTAAATACCCCTGGTTTTTGGGTTATACCCGGTGGCATCGAACCACTGACTGGCAAGGAGGATGTGGGTTGAGCAGTTGATGGCACTGCAGATGAAGATGGTATGTTAATTCCAATGCTGAAGCCTGATGAAGGGTCCATGTCCATCACACCAAACTGTACATCCAGAGATCCAAGGCCACGAGTCGATCCAGGCATCTCTACTGCTGATGCTGGAATCTGTTGAGATCAATGTTGCAATAAGTCAACTGATAACAAAGTCAACTCGAACCAAGGTTAAGTAAATTAGTACCAACATGAGTAAAGACATTTGATACCAAGAAAAGTCAAGGGTAAGAAAACTGCACCACATTTATTACAAAGGTAAACTGGTACCAAGTCAAATAGTATTTGATATTAGGGATATTTTAAATGGTTACATGGTAAATCCACCAGATTACATAAAGGTAAAGGAATTTTTTTATACACTTGCTTGCTTCAGATTTGATGAAAAGATGTATCATGAGAACCATGGATATGATAGGTTTTCAAATGAGGTGTCAGATGGTTATCATCATTTACAAGCAACATAACAACATTATCAGATTCCAAAGTCAACTGACATTGTGTCTGGTTGATTCATACCTTGGATGGAGGAGGTAGTTTCTTTCGTGCCGGCTTTACTTGATTTGCAACAGGTGCAGGCCGTTGTTGCTGAACAGGTACTTGTTGAACAGGAACAACAACCTATGACAGGCAAATTAAGAGAGATTCATCTTGTTACCATTGAGGACATGTCACAAGACAAACACACAAACATGGTGCTATACATCAACCAAGTCTTACGGTGTGAAGTTGTTTCTGGTTTGAGAAAAAAATCCTTTTTACCGTAACAGGAATTGAACAACCTGGGAGTTTTTAAGACCCTGGCATTGGAAGACAAGCATCTTAACTACAATGCTACAGCATTACTTTGTAGCTTGGTGGTAAGGATTTCTGCCTTCCAATCTTAAGAGTCCTGAGTTGAAATCATGTCAGAAATACAGATTTTTACCACCATTAAAAACAACTCAATCCCTAAGCCTCATTAGCGACTTGGTACATACAGCATCATTTAACTGGGGAGAGTCCTAGCTGTTGGACATGAAGAAAATAAAAAATAGTATGTATACCTGGTCAATAGTTTTATTTGTATGTGATGGAGGTTTCATTTCTGCAAACTGTGTAAAGACATCAGGTTGAGGCCTAGGTGGTGGTTGGATGGACTCGCCCACTACAGGTGATGGTGAGGACATTGATCCTGGTGGCTTGCCTAGTAACGTTGCAATATCAATGCTTTAAGAGAAAAATGAACATTTAGGCCATATAAGTATTGTACATTATGGATATCATCTAAGAAGGACGACATAATATAGGCATGTGAATAGGCACGTACCATAGAGTTATCAGAATAATAATATAAAACCATTAAAATAAATGATGATGATGAAACTGAATTTGTCTCCCAAATGACCATTTGAATGCATGAAAATAAAGAAAACTTAAGTTCAAATTCAAATTTTTGGGTGCACAAAATTGTATTAAAACCGAAATGTCTTGACTGTTTGATTACGAACAATAGCACCATGCAATAACGCTGCTACAGCTAATCCTTGCATAGTGGCATTTCCTGGTCATTTTGGAGGTGAAAAAATATTCATTCCTTAACTGACCTTTGGGGCATTGATGGTTGACTACCAGGTGCTGAGATTGTACTAGATACCACGGCAGAATCCATGCTAGGAGTGTATACAGGTGGCGATGTGTCCTCCTTGAATGTTGTAGGTGCTGTTGTACTTGGTGTAAACACCTGTGATTTGCTTAGCTACAAAGAAAATGTAAAAAGGTAATTGGTAAACATAAGTGTAGTAAATTCCAATACAAATAAGGAATTGACCAATAAAGTAAGCAAATAAAGTTAAAAGGTAATTGGTAAACATAAGTGTAGTAAATTCCAATACAAATTTATAGCCATTGGCCATTAAAGTAAGCAAATAAAGTTAACAAATAAAATATAATATTTGAATAGTTGTGAGAAAAATACTAGCACTGAAATTGATAGTACACATAAGGGAGTGAATTCTCCTAAAGGAAAATAGTTTAAGTTATTAGCTTTAATAAGTTAAATATTCTCACTAGCATCCTTGACACCCTGCAAGATATTTTATGAGGTTTTAGAAAGTGATGTTTTATGCAAGTTCAGGATCACAGTTGTGTTGATCATGAAATGTATCTCATTTTGCAAGGATTGAACAACAATACTTGGCTGAAAGAAAGCAACTAAAACCACGAAACCAGTCTTTAAGTGGCCCAACATGCGTTGTAAAATATAACATTAAAAATGACTTACATCTCCAGTCCAATCATCAATTCCCCAATCATCACTACATGGTGGAGTTGCTGATGGCTTTGATTTAGGTACACTGTCCCAAGCTAAAAAAGAAAAAAGAAAAAAAGAAAGACAAAACTTAATCACAGTGAGTTTTAAGTTATATTTCAATCACCAAGCATAGGTACATTGACTTTAATCCAGTTATCTCACTAATTACTAACACATTACTGCTGGAATAAACCAAATATTTCTGCTTTTGGAACTTTTTATTTATTTAGGCACACAACACATGCACCAAGGATTGTCAATAGCAAATATATCACTGGCCTATTTGTAGTGAGAATCCCTTTCACAAGAGAAACATAAACACATGATGCTTTCCACAAATTTTTGAGATTTAGGGAGTGGAGATGTTTTGGGGCTTGTCTCTACTGAAAAGAAATAATCGATTAAAAATCGCTTTTTCGAAAAATCGCTTTTATTCTCGCAGTAGAAACAGGACCATTTTGAAAAAAGCGATTAAAAGAAATCGATTAAAAACACGCAACGGATAGCGTGTTTGAACAACAAATAACCGATTTTGGCTGTGCACCTTTTAGCTGCAACACAAAAAAAGCGATTATCAGGTGAAATGTGACCTCCAGGTCAATCACTGCAAAGACTAGATCGTATTAGGCGCGATCTTTCAAAAGTGATAGACCTACAAGCTAAAAACGTCAACAAACATGTGGAGCGACGAATTCGTTTTGTAATTATTTTGTGGTGGGGTGGGGGGGGTGGGATATTAGGCCTATTCCTCTCCGCTCTTTTGGGCCTACCGTTGTCCTCATTTGGTCGCTCGTTCATTGTGCCGATGAGCACAGCCAAAAACATTTGCCTTTTCGCCCCACATCGTATCTTACTCCTCGTCATCATGACAGGAATGAGAAAGATACTATCCTATACAGTTAGGAAAACAAAGTGTTGTATAAACAAAATGGTGACGTAATCAATCTCCTTCACGAAAACTGATTTTCTAAAAATCAAAAATGCAGTTGCAACGCGAGCAGGCTGTCTGGTACTCTTTAAAAAAGCGGTTTTAAAAAAATCGATTATTTTGTGTTTATCAGTAGAAACGCACCCTTGGTCTCCACTCAAGCTTTTTAATCTTCACTCCCAAATGAGCAATTCCAGGATTTTTTCTTAGAACTAAAATATCTCCTTACAAACACTTAAATTAATTTCAAGGTGACAGGACATACTTACTTGATGCTGTGAAATTACTTGCATTGCACCTACTATTCCTATTATCTGAAGTCTTTGGAGGATTCGTCCAAACATTGTCACCAGGTTTTGCCCCTGTAAATGCATCTCCCTCAAACGTTCTAAAACCAATTTTAGAGAGAATGTGAATTAAAAAAAAGCATATTATCTTATTTTATTTTTAATATAACTTTGATTTTATATTATAATTATTGCATCATAAAGCATGAAACTTACCCAAACTTGGAATTTGTGAAAGATCTCGAGCCTCCTCTACCACCTCGCCTTGAGCCACCTCCATTCATATGATCTATAAAATGTACCATAAACAAAATTAACAAACATCCACACTAAAATTAATGAAGATATATTTGTTGTTAAGTCATAATAGAATAATACTTAATAATACCAAGAAAGACCATTATAAAGTGTTCACATCCATTCAAAATAATGCTCACAGTTTTTATTAATATCGTAAACCCAATCAAATTAAGATATTCAAGAGGGATTATACCTAACTAACAAGATTTCATACATAATCACTAGAAACCACAGAAAATCACCCAAGTTGGTGAATAATAACTTAGGACTAATACACTTACCAAACCTCCTTCCACGTCCCCTGCCTGATTCATTCCTGTCATTAAACCTCCGGTCGTTACTAAAACCACGGTCACGATCATTGCTAAAACCCCGATCACCGCCAAAACTTTGGTCGTCATTGTCTCTTTCTCGACTGGCTCCATTTTCTCGGCCACGCCCTTTAAAGCAAAACAGATTCATTAATATCAAGGATTACAAGGACCTTTTTTTAAGAAGCATCAAAAACATATAAATTGCAAATAACTAAGGCACTGTTGATATGGCTTTTAATAATGAATTTTTTTATGATTTTTAAAATGATGCTGCTTGGACACCATATTTGCTTCATCTGTCTGGAAATTTAGACTCTGCATGGTTTGTAAAAAAAATTAATGTCTTAACAACTACTACAGTATATTCATAATTTGCCATATTTGGTGGCAGCTACCCCACCGTAGCTTTTGACTTTAACCTATTAACGAACTGTAAAGTATACACTATATTATTGCATGGTATTGAAATTTACTAACCTCTTGCCATTCTTGGAGGCACTCGACCCCGACCCCTGTTTGACCTTCCGTCTCGCTGTGACTTTCCCTCTTTGAAATCATCTCCCCTGTCGCCTCGCTCCCTCTTGTCGGATCTGCTGTCTTTAAGGTCTGTGGTAGAGTCAATCTGTTTGTTTGACGACTGCATATTCTGCTGTGATTTACTTTTCTTACTACTAATTGTCTGCCATTCATTCTGAACAAGAAAATGAAGGATCATCAAATTTTAACCATATAAGCCTATACTCCTGATATTTTATGTAATATATACAAATTGATTGGCCTAAAAAAAGAGGCAAAGACTAAAGCAAGCTAAGAATATAGAGAGAGAAAACAGAAGATAAATACACAAACAGGTGTAAAAGAAGGACTTAAGATACAAATGTAGATCACATAGATAACAAGAGTTACCATACTTACTGGATCATCTGCAGTGTCTAGAAGGGCGAAGATGGCCTGTTCTGTGTTGTAATTACAATCATGAAGTGCTGTTAAGATAGCTTCTTCACTTTTACCAGTGACGTCAATCACCTAAAAAAACCAAAAACCATATACTGTAGATAAAATTTGCTTAGAGACTACCTTATGGGTCTTGTTCAATTGGCAAGATCCTCTTTTTAACAATAACATTTTCCTAACTGAAATGTCAAGAGCCACTAATAAAAATAGGGGAAGCAAATCATAGACATAATTTTGATAGTAAAAATGGCACAGACAAGTTAGAACACGTTGTTTCAGGGCAGAAGAAAGTCCCGCAAAGGCAGCAGCTTATCAAAGCTCACATCGAGAGAATTTTAGTGTTTAAAAACAACATATTTTTAAATTCGCACAAAAATATCATTGCAAAGTCAACTATTCATAATACATAGTATCCTAGATATACCTAATGCTCTGTTGACACTATAATGTTTTTGGGGCGTTCTGTTGTCTTGACAAATGTCTGCGATTGGGCCATATGGGCTTTATCATATCACACCCATATAAGCAAATGTGGGGACTCAGGTCTCCAGGACACTCTTAAGAATTCTGATTAAGCTGATGATGACTGAAATAAAATATTGTTGAAAACTGTTAGCAGACAAGCAAGCCAAGACATACCTGTTGAACTTGGGCCTGTATCTCCACACTTTTATCACTTCCTGTGTCAGCTGATAACATTTGAGCCATACGTAGCTGATCTGGTGTGGCCTGCATCTAAGGAAATTGAATATGAATGTGTTTTAGCATTTCTCTAACAGTTCAGCATACAGCAGCAACACAAATTGTTAGCAAGCATATTATGCTATACAGATACTGCAGAATACAGTAACCAAATTTGTATAATTCTCCCCATAAAACATTAAAAATCACATTTTGTTTTTTATTAATTTAATTTCCAGCAGAAGCATAGCCAGGAAAACCATGTTTCACACTGTATTACTATTACTAAACTCAAACAAGGGTGAATAATTCAAATGTTTATGACCAAAACAGCATGAGGATAACATGTTATTGTCAGCACAAGACTAACCACACCATTATATTTTATGTGACAAAGAAACTTGATATGCCTACAGTATATTTGGGTGTAATATGACTATCACACCCGTATATGGGCACATCCCACAATTGTGTTACAGCAAATTTGATAGTGTGGACAGCGATTAAAGAAATACGAGATTAAAGATAGAAGCCTGGTTCTCACGAGAGCCCTAGTAACTGGATCGGGAGCTAACCGTTAGTGCTAACCGCTAGCAGTATCCAGATACCTCTAACGGTTAGCAAGTGCTTTCGGTTAGCAAGTGAGCGCGTTTCTATCCTCAACCAATCACACGTACGCGTTTACAATTTCCAGTTTCTTATTGGCCAGTGATTCGATCATCATATGCTTGGTATCCGGATCGGGATTTTCTTGTATGGACATACGGCAGCTAACGGTTAGCAGGATCCGGATCTTGCTAGCCGTTAGCTGCCGTGTGAGAACATAGCCTAAAGATATTATCAAAGCCACTCACTGGATAGAGAGCTTAGGATGTTGTTTATATTTTCAAAATGCAGCTTCCTCCTAAGCTCTACCCACACATAAAATCTGATAGTGTAAACAGAGTTTAAGTGTCACGATATGAACAGTTTGATATTGTACTGTCTATGAATGATCCTTATTAAATGTATATGAACAAGTAAACCAAACCTAACATTTTTTACCGTTGTGTGCACGACATTAAACTCTTATTTTAACGATTTATTGCCCATGAAAAATGCCAAATAAAAAAAATCATCAAAATAATTTCTGAAATTAAATTTTTAAAGCAACATAAACCAAATTAACCAACATCAAACCAATTAACAGAAGCACCTATTATTAATCAACCATAAAAACTATATTTTACATAATCATATTCTATATACCAGTAATTTCAAAATAATATCAACACAATCACTTCCATAAATTCTCGGAAACTCTAATTATTCAATTGCCCAAAAAGGAATTTATTAAACCTTGCCTGAAAATAATGCCTGCAATAATATTTTTATACATAATTTAAATATGGACTCCTTTTCCCTAGGTGTAAATGCAATAATGTTTGTATGTCAAGCAAAACATTACATCCCCTATGAGCATCATAAAAATGCAAAAATTATATTATTCATAATTATATACATATAGTTTTTTTTTTTAACAATTATTGAATTTTCAAATTTTTAAGTGAAAACAAATTAGGAAAGGAAAGTAGAAAAATTCAGTCTAAGGCAATTCATTCAGATATGATTGCTAGTAAATAAGACTTTCTACACCTAGAGGGATAGACACAAAGGGAAACATGGTTTCGTTGATCTACTCTGATAACCAAACCTTATAACAATACATCAGCAAATTTTTGAAAATTAAGCATCAATCAATCAATTTATAAGGCGCATAATACAGCTGTCTCTATGCGCTCACTGATTTTGGATAATTTCTGGAGATTCAATCTGGAATCTTTTGAATGGTTACAATAAATTGCATATGAAATAAATATTTAAATCTGCAAAAATACTAGAGCACAAGCAAACGAACACTTTCAAATATTCAAATATTAATAAATGTATGGTAAGCACGGCTGCTAATGTATCCTGACAACTAGATGAAATCGTTCCAGCATTTATTTTTATTGTTAATAATATGTAGTTTATTAAATCAACATGTTACGTTTTATTGCGGCATCTAGTGCTCAGCTTTTAATTAGGCCTTGACACTTCTTGTCGTTTTGATTATTTCATATATCATTTACATAATTTATTTCAACCATTTCAAATTTACAAATACAAATGTAATACAAAAAATACATAAACATCTTGGTAGTATCCGGTAGGATTGCCCAAAAGAGGGGGGGGGGGCAATGCCCGTCTGTCCAAGAGTTCTCCAGTACCAACCAAAGAAACAAAAATATTACAGTAAAACTTACCTAAGTCGATCTTATTTTACATTCCAAATTGTTGCATTTTCCATTAATTAACGATTTGGAAGTCAAATTTTATCTAAGTCGAACAATTTTTCAATGCCATTTAGGATTAACTTAGATAAGTTCAATTGTATATGTAACAGCAATATTAATATTAATAGTTTTAAAGTAGGCCTATTGTATTGTTTGCAAAGTTACAAAACTACTGTATGATTGACAGATTGTTAAAAATTGTTGACGAAATAATTTGCTCACCTTTTTACTTGAAGGCGTCTCAGAGACTGTCGCCGACTTTGTGGTAGTCTGTGTAGTACTTTTCTGAGATGTGTTTTTTTCTTTCCCACCCCCTCTTGTATTTGCACGTGTGGCTCCCATTTTTGTCTGTCCTATACAGGTACTGTATTATATACAAAGCAATGTATATACAAAATAAGATTCTAGAATAAAGATGAAATAAATTTTGGTTAGACTCAAAAATGAACTGTCAGAAAAGATGACGTTCTGCATGAGAGACATAAGAAATCAATAAATGCAATAATAAAAACCTTTAATATAGGCCTACTGTATACTGCAAGTATTGTACGAACAAAAAAAAATCATAGTTTTAGAATAAACATGGTTAGGATGTACCATAAATCCATAGCGTAATAACAAAAATTGTAATTGGATGCTATCCATTTAATATCACAAGACACATTTTATGTGGAATATAGCCTGTGCCAATCATAGAATGGAGAGTTTAGGATTTTTTCATTTTCACAGGTCTAGGCCTAGTAGAAGAATGAAGGAAGGCTCATATGTATGCATGATGTAAATATGTGTGGGACGGTCATCATTCAGTCAAAAACAAGCCTTGAACTTAGCCACTGTGTTCTTTTAGTCTTTAGTCATACAGGTTAGTAGCTGGAGCACATTCATTTACATTTCACCGCGCTAGATTCCCACAAAAGTTGAATTCATAAGGTACTGAAGGGTTTTCATACTTAACAGATTTTACAGTACTCCGTTTACCAGAACTTTTCATATATAATTTTACATGTGTAGTAATGGTTCCATGCAATGCTTAGTGCTAGGGCTGCTGACAGGTAGAAGCTGATACAGTTTTTTAATTATTAAAGCTAGGCTAGAAAGGCCTAGACAAAATCAGGTTACTAAATAACAAAGGTACATTTCTACTACTATTGTGGCAGTATATTTTCTGAAACAATTGTGCAAGAAATTTCCCTTTATTTTTCAAATACAGACTATGTCTAGGAGGGCCTAGGCCTTCATGGAGAGGGAAAGTAGGCCTAGGCCTATTTCCCATGCAGACCTAACTTCTCAGTGAGAGTAAAATTTGACAATAGATTGACTACAAAATTTGAGGAATAATAGGATTCATATATAGTAGCAGTCTTCTTAATCCTTTGTTTGACATGTGAATTTGATAGTGATAGGCCCACCTCTACCATACGTTGTTCGTTAAGTTTTGTAAATTGTATCATAGGTCTAGGCCTACTAGTTGGGCCAAGGGTAAGCGCTGCTGCTATGCTAGTCTGACAAAAAAATAAGACAACTATTTTCGTTTATATAGGCAGCCCTAGCCTACATTATGATGAGGCTACATCTACACTTTAACAAGATAAACTTGTTTTTATTGATAATGTTAAGATATATAACATTGTTTATTGAATTAGTCAGTTTTCTGTTGATCTACGAACTGAAGCAGTGGATGTACAGACACATATCCTGCTAATCCATACGACACTAGGCTAGCCCTAAACGTATTCCAGCTGAGGCAGACAAAAACATTCACGAAACGCAGCCATGTGACGAAATGCAGTAAACTTTGTAGACGATTAGAGCATAATATAATGAATATTTACGTCATTTAAATACAGAACATTATTTTTCAAACATAGTATGATTCTTAAGACATTTTAGATTATTGCCAGCCATTCATAATGCACATAAATATAAAGGAAATAAAGAAACAAAATGTAAAAACCTACGACTTCTCAAGCCTTACCTGCTTCTCACAAAACTCACAAAAGCATTATCACGTGACCAATCTACAGCCATTAGCGCGGGCGCACTTCCGGGCATGACGTCATCAGGGAACTTGCGTGACGACTGGCCGATACAAAATTTGACGTACAAACATAACTTGTAATTTATTTATTTATTTATTTATTACACTTCATCACTGCAAAAATACAAAAACAATTCAATACTCAAGGCAAAATTTTTAACATCAATGATATTAAACGCCAGCTGATTTAACAAAATCTCCCGTGAATAACTACAGTCATGGAGTACAAGACAAAATAAAACCTTAGGTAGGCCACGGCACTGGGGTTTTATAACGATTGATATGGCCTGTTGTTAGTGATCTTTATTATTGTCCTTTAGGCCCTAATACGAGTTCCATTTGCTGCTTAAACGGACCAAATAATTAAGTTAACCAATAATATAGGCTTAGACTCTAATTCTGAACAGTCGTCGATCGGTTTTCATTTATCGTGATAACAAGGGCGCCTATAATTATTATGATCACTGGTTGTTGGAATTAAACAGCAAGTTTGGGAAATTTCACAAAGGGTGATTTTTTTCTCTCGAGAAGATTAAACATACAAAGAAGAAAAGAAATTTACCAGATGCCATGCAATCTGGCTAAAATTCCGTTTATTATTATTAATCACTGATAAACCCCGTTTGTTATTACTGTATATTGTTAATCACCATCATAATTTATAAGGTTAGGACATAGTATCATGATCCTAATTTTTTCACTAATCTTCAGATATGAGAGAAACACTGAAATTTGAAAGTAAATTGATAAGGTGTATTTTCAAACATAGGAAACAAATATTTCCCGGGCCTTGTTTCCAGAGCTCACCTTCAACCAAACTATAGTAGGCTTACACATTCCCTTGAATTTTCCAACAGACGTTTTTTTTAAAATTTTTTTTACAATATTTAATTACAATGATTAATTATATAATATCTTTGGTATTATGGTAAACACCCCCAAATGACAACAAATAGGCCAACCATTTTAAGACAAAAATAATATTGTCCCTATCATAGCAAAGAATCTGTAAATTATCGAAAACAGGTATCAATTATACCTTATTTAATAATTTTAAGTAAACGAGTTAATTTTATAAATTAAATTATGAGGGGTTTTCAGATTTTTTTTCAGTATCCACTAAAAATTGGCTACTAGCTTCTACACCATGAGGCCGGACAATTCTTCGAAACCAGTGTCATACTTACTAACATTAGCTCCTTTGAATAATTCATTTGTTTAGCTGTCTCTTTTGATACTTTATGAACGTTGTAGGCATAATGTGGTAATATACTCTACTACTATGGAAGAATTATTTTTCTCCACGCCACAACTTAAGAAAACAAACTGAGTGTATGCATTGACGCTCGTAAGTTCGTTTCATTTTATTGCATCTACTTTATATATTTTGACTACAAACAAATGTGGAAACGGTGTCAATGAGGATCTGCAGCTTAGGTAGTTATATTTCAAACTCAGTTTGTGCGCGTGTCATGCACTGGACCTCGGATGCCAAAATATATTCATGGGTGAGATGAGAAGCGAGCGGAGTGACCCATTGGGTCAGGCCCGTGGCCATAAGAGGGCCCAGGAGTGAAACAGGATTGAGATAGTATTTTAAGTAACTTTAATGATCTGAAAGGGTCGGAAGCTTCTGCATTCAAACCTATAGGAACAGATATATTTCTGATAAATGATAGTAGACTGGTTTGAGGCGAATTCAACTATTACCGTAGTATTCGATTGTAGGCGTACATTACATATGTATTTCCTATCACGCAAATTAGTCTTGTAAGTAATTATGTAAGTTAGTAAGTACTTTGAGAAGTTTGTACAGATATTTAACAAAATTCTGGGGATTTCCAGTTGATCGCAAACACATTCTTTTCTTTTAACTGTGTTTGAAATGGACACTGAATGTTATAGAAGATTTTTTTGTAGGTATAGTTGAATTAGATTCTTCAGATGTCAGTGCCATATCAATAAATATACAGAGTCGATTCCATAGTATGTAAATTTTAACTAGATTAATGTATTGTGCTGTCACTGTACTGTACGTTTCAAAGCCAGTTTTTGTAAATTGTGTACAATTCATCTATGTATATAGTTAAAACTGTATACCATATTGCCAGGAGCATTTTTCTCAGAATATAAATCAAACTCATTCTGACATAATGCACCACGTTATATGAAATGATATAATTATGTTAGATCCATCAGAACTGACTGTCAGCGGTTTAAAGCGGCTCGCGTGCTAAATTCATCAGGAGTGTGCCTGTCAGCTGATGTTTAAAGCGGCTCTAAAGCGGTACTGAGATTCCATCAGAATTGACTGTCGGTTGATGTTTAAAGTGGTCCGTGCTAATTTCATCAAAATTGATTGTCGGTTGATGTTAAAGTTTAATGAGGCTCGTGGTAGTTTACTCTCAGGAATGACTTGATGATTAAAGCGGTTAGTGCAGCATGTATTTCCATCAGGACTGACTGTCGGTTGATGCTAGTTCCATCAGAATAAAGCGGCTCGTGGTTCATCAGAAATTGTTTGATGAGTTACGTTACAGTGTAGAAGTGCCTGTGGCAGCTAGCTGATGTTCGATGCGGTTCGTTCCGGTTCCATCAGGAATGACTATCATCTTATCTGATGAAAACGACTGTAGTTTGTTAGCACTCGCAGATTCCTCTTTAACGTTCAAATGTATAATTTATAGCATTATCGCAAGACAATTTTAGGCTTATCTCTACATCGTATCCTTGCAGAAGCCTGTTAGATAGTATATACAGTATTTTGAATTCACACACACACACCTACCCACACACACACGGGCCTATATATATATCTTCTATATATCGCAGAGGGGTAAAGCATCATATAGTATAGGCCTATTCTTACAAAAGCCATGGATGTATGCAAGGGGGGGGGGGAGTGGGGCGGGGAGGGGGTAAGGTCGTACGACCCCCCCCCCCCCCCCATTTTCAAAGGTCCACATTTTTTCCCAAATTTTTTCTAGGGCTTTTTCACAATGACATAAATAAAAAAGCACTGATGAGGTACAAGAAAAATCTATCAAGTTATCACCATTTAATAGCTGAAAATCGGTAACTGTAATGCTGCCTTCTAGAAAGGTAGGCCTCGTACTCTTTCCATTGGTGATTTATAATGTTTTTTTTAAAAACATAAATGACGCACAATTTCTTTTCTTCGTATTCTGAAGGAGAAATAAAAGGTAAAATAGCTTTTAGCTGTCATGCCAAATCAACTGTTTGATTTAAAAAGCTAAGAATCCAATTTTGTCCGGTTGCGATTGCAGCTCCGTTTGCGGTGCGTTATAATCGATATGACTGTTGTAAACGAGAGTGCTTCCATTAGTGCGGTTGCGTTTTCGTTGCGTCTCCGTCACCGCATGCGATATTTTAATCGCTCCATGGAGCGATTCATTCATTTTGATTTCAGTCCGCCGTGCGGTGTGGTGAACATGCAAAAAGGCCTTTAAAACGCACGTGCTCTGTATAACTTACAACGCACTGAAACGCAAACGCAACCGTAGCCGCAAACGCAACCAGACAAATGGATTCTTAGCATGGGATCCAGGGGGTAAAGCAAGCTCTCAAAATTTAGGAATCTGTAAGGCTAAAGCCGGGCAATCACTGCGTCGCCTATGAGCGCTAGACGACGCGACGCCGTCGACTGTCGGCGGCAGTCTGAACGGATCGTCATTAAAAACGATTCGTTGTGCGCGCGTCGTGGCATTATCACACAGTGGCGTATCTAGGGTTGTGCGGGCGTGGGGGCTTGGTGCAGGTGGCACGCCCCTACAAAAATTACTAGCG